AAACCCAACCGGTGCTACAGCAGCAGCAGCAGCTGACAGTGCGCAGCAGCAGCAGCTGTACCACCAATAGTAGCGATGGTTGATTGGGGTTTATTATACAACCTGGCCAGCTCGGAGACATGCACTCCACTTTCATACTTATCAATGATCTTTTTCTTCATCTCTATTGTAATTCTCACCCTTATTGCTGTTAGGGGTTTGGGACTAGAAGCTTTCTTGGGGCCCATGGTCACTTATTTTCCCCGAAAAAGCACCGAAAACACTGTAATAATACGAAATATTCCGATTGTATGCTTGGATGTTACGCGGAGGCTGGCTGGTAAACAATGCCACCGGCGGAAACATGTGAGCGTGGCTCAGGCCGTGTCTCGGACGAAAAACGGTAAGCGGGTTTTTAAGCGGTTTGTTAGGCAAAATTTTTGCGATTTAAAGTAAGCGGGATGCGAAATAATCGCTATGTGATGCCATCGTTTGCGGGGGTCCACTGTATATATAATATATATATATATATATATATATATATATATATATTTATATAAATATATATATATATATATATATATATATATTATATATATATATATATATATATATATATATTTATATACATACACAGTGGACCCCCGCATAGCGAATTAATCCGTGCAAGAGGGTGGTCGTTATGCGAAATGTTCGCTATGCGAATTAATTTTCCCCCTAAGAAATAATGGAAATAAAATTAATCCGTGCAAGACACCCAAAAGTATGAAAAAAAAATTTTTTTACCACAAAAAAATGTTAATTTTAGTACACACAAACTGAAAAAAGGCATGCACAATTACATGACACTTACTTTTTTTGAAGACTGGTGATGATTGATGGGGGTGGGGGGAGGGGAGGCATTATCTTCTTATGTTTAGAAGGGGAATCCCCTTCCATTAGGACTTGAGGTAGCAAGTCCTTTTCTGGGGTTACTTCCCTTTTCTTTTAATGCCACTAGGACCAGCTTGAGAGTCACTGGACCTCTGTCGCACAAAAATCTGTCCATAGAGCTTGTACCTCCCGTTCCTTCAAGACTTTCCTAAAATGGGCCATAACATTGTCATTGAAATAGTCACCGCACGGCTTGCAACAGCTGTGTCAGGGTGATTTTCATCCATAAAGGTTTGCAGTTCAACCCACTGTGCACACATTTCCTTAATTTTTGAAGTAGGCACAATGGATTCCACAAAATGGCATAGGCTTCTCAGGGTTAGCCCCAAACCTTCAAAATCTTTTTAATTTCCATACTAATTTCACCCTTTTTACCACAGGGTTGGCACTAGAAGCTTTCTTGGGGCCCATGGTCACTTATTTTCCCGAAACAGCACCGAAAACACTGTAATAATACGAAATATTCCCAGTGTATGCTTGAATGTTACCGCGGAGGCTAGCTGGTAAACAATGGGACGGGCGGCACATGTGAGGCTGGCTGAGGGCCCACATTGGACGGTCTCGGACGAAGTTCGCTGAGCGGGTTTTTGTCTACTATGCGGGGGCAAAATTTCAGCGAACAAAGCGTTCGCTATGGGGGATTGTTCGCTATGCAAGGCGTTTTGCTAAAGCGGGGTCCACTGTTATATATATATATATATATTTTATAATATATATATATATATATATATATATATATATATAATATATATATAAAATATATATATATATATATATATAATATATATGCATATGCATATGCATATGCATGCTTGTACATGTATGTGTAGTGTGACCTAAGTGTAAGTAGAAGTAGCAAGACGTACCTGAAACCTTGCATGTTTATGAGACAGAAAAATGGACACCAGCAATCCTACCATCATGTAAAACAATTACAGGCTTTCGTTTTATACTCACTTGGCAGGACGGTAGTACCTCCCTGGGCTGTTGCTGTCTACCAACCTACTACCTAGAACTCAACAGACTTATCCCCCTATAATTTTTGCACTCTCTTTTGTCCCCTTTGCCTTTATACAAAGGAGCTATGCATGCTCTCTGCCAATCCCTAGGTACCTTACCCTCTTACATACATTTATTAAATAATAGCTCCAACCACTCCAAAACTATATCCCCACCTGCTTTTAACATTTCTATCTTTATCCCATCAATCCCAGCTGCCTTACCCCCTTTCATTTTACCTACTGCCTCACGAACTTCCCCCACACTCACAACTGGCTCTTCCTCACTCCTACAAGATGTTATTCCTCCTTGCCCTATACATGAAATCACAGCTTCCCTATCTTCATCAACATTTAACAATTCCTCAAAATATTCCCTCCATCTCCCAATACCTCTAACTCTCCATTTAATAACTCTCCTCTCCTATTTTTAACTGATAAATCCATTTGTTCTCTAGGCTTCCTTAACTTGTTAATCTCCAAAACTTTTTCTTATTTTCAACAAAATTGTTGATAACATCTCACCCACTCTCTCATTTGCTCTCTTTTTACATTGCTTCACCACTCTCTTAAACCTCTCTCTTTTCTCCATATACTCTTCCCTCCTTGCATCACTTCTACTTTGTAAAAACTTCTCATATGTTAACTTTTTCTCCCTTACTACTCTCTTTACATCATCATTCCACCAATCGCTCCTCTTCCCTGCTGCACCCACTTTCCTGTAACCACAAACTTCTGCTGAACACTCTAACACTACATTTTTAAACCTACCCCATACCTCTTCGACCCCATTGCCTATGTTCTCATTAGCCCATCTATCCTCCAATAGCTGTTTATATCTTACCCTAACTGCCTCCTCTTTTAGTTTATAAACCTTCACCTCTCTCTTCCCTGATGCTTCTATTCTCCTTGTATCCCATCTACCTTTTACTCTTAGTGTAGCTACAACTAGAAAGTGATCTGATATATCTGTGGCCCCTCTATAAACATGTACATCCTGAAGTCTACTCAACTGTCTTTTATCTACCAATACATAATCCAACAAACTACTGTCATTTCGCCCTACGTCATATCTTGTATACTTATTTATCCTCTTTTTCTTAAAATATGTATTACCTATAACTAAACCCCTTTAAATATAAAGTTCAATCAAAGGGCTCCCATTATCATTTACACCTGGCACCCCAAACTTACCTACCACACCCTTTCTAAAAGTTTCTCCTACTTTAGCATTCAGGTCTCCTACTACAATTACTCTCTCACTTGGTTCAAAGGTTCCTATACATTCACTTAACATCTCCCAAAATCTCTCTCTCTCCTCTACATTCCTCTCTTCTCCAGGTGCATACACGCTTATTATGACCCACTTTTCGCATCCAGCCTTTACTTTAATCCACATAATCCTTGAATTTACACATTAATATTCTCTTTTCTCCTTCCATAACTGATCCTTCAACATTATTGCTACCCCTTCTTTAGCTCTAACTCTCTCAGATTCTCCAGATTTAATCCCATTTATTTCCCTCCACCGAAACTCCCCTACCCCCTTCAGCTTTGTTTTGCTTAGGGCCAGGACAATTGGATGAACTATCAATGTTAATTCCAAAAGTAGATTATGCTTGTGACTTCATAATGAATGCAGATCCAAACATTTCAAAATAAAAGTTATCTTTTCTTTACCTTATATATGGTACATTGTTTATTTACAGCTGTACTAAAAATCTCTACTAGTACAGTAGGAACCCTGTATCTGCGGGGGATACGTTCCAAGGGCCTGCTGTGGATACCGAAACCGTGGATAGTAGCAAACCCTATATATAAGTCCTATGCATACCTATTGTAAAGTTTAATTGGTAAATTATGCACAATAAGTGGAGAATTATCACTTCTTCACTGATGGGAAGCACTTCACAGCTTCTCTTAGTCATTGAAGTATTTTTGGGCCACAATAAACAGTGGATAACTGAAACTGCAAATTCCAAATCAGTGGATACTGGGGTTCTTACTACAATTTTTTTTTTTTTCCCAACAAGTCGGCCGTCTCCCACCAAGGCAGGGTGACCCAAAAAGAAAGAAAATCCCCTAAAAGAAAATACTTTCATCATCATTCATCACTTTCACTTCACTCATACATAATCACTGTTTTTGCAGAGGTACCCAGATACAACAGTTTAGATGTGCTGTAACATATCCCTCCAAACTGCCAGTATCTCAAACCCCTCCTTTAAAGTGCAGGCATTGTACTTCCCATTTCCAGTACTCAAGTCTGGCTATATAAAAATAACCGGTTTCCTGAATCCCTTCACTAAATGCATGTATTACCCTGCTCACACTCCAACAGATTGTCAGGTTCCAAGAACCATTTGTCTCCATTCACTCCTATCTAACATGCTCACGCATGCTTGCTGGAAGTCCAACCCCCTTACCCACAAAACCTCCTTTACTTTCCCCCTCCAGCCTTTTCAAGGACGACTCCTACCCCGCCTTCATTCCCCTACAGATTTATACGCTCTCCATGTCATTCTACTTTGATCCAGTCTCTCTAAATGGCCAAACCACCTCATTTAGAGAGAATGGATCAAAGTTTGTAAGAGTTTCTTGTGCATTGATTTGTACTAAGCAAACAGCTAAGTATTTTTGTGATCCGATGCATTTAACTGTATTGTTGGAATGCAGTACATTAAGACACATTATAATAATACCTTGAGCATTACAGTATTGTATAGTACGGTATTATTTTGACACATGATAACCGAACTATGCAAGGTGTCAGAATAAAAGTCTCATCCACTGAAGCTATCTAGTAGAGCTTTAGAGTTCTTCTGACTTAAAATGAAAGTTGCTCTGAGTTACCACTGTTTATCACAGTTCAGTAGTTTACACCTCAAATCCCCACCAAAAAAGGTAAGTAAAATTTCTGTAAATTTTGTACATTACCACAGAATTACAGCACATTACTGTACTATAGTACTGCTGTTATAATAGCTATATTTGTAGTCTCATTTCATATTTATTTTGGGTGGTTGATGTTAATATCAAGTTTATTACTGCTGTGAAAAAAAATAGCAAACTTCCGTTTTGTTTCTTCAGGCTTCAGAAAGACATGTTTGGCTGTGTTTGCAGTCTGGAAGAGCAGTAGTGAAGCAAGCTGTAACACTTGCAGTGAGCTTATCCGGCTTAGTGCCAATTATGGTACAGGCTCTGGCAGCCATTCCACAAGTGTGCCATGCTCTTTTACCTACAGGTGAGTTTATTGAGTAGTTGTAGGCCCTAGTTGATTGTTGTGTGCCAAGCAATTGTTTGTAGGGTCTTAAGTGATTATTACTATGGGAGAAGTGTAGTAATGTATGTGCATGATGTGCATTGGGAGGAATACAATAAATTACGTATATTCATGATGTACATAATAGTGTTGGTAGAATTTCCGACAATATGTAAAGTAAAAGGACACAAGTGCAGTTAATGTGACATTTTTATTGTGGCAACGTTTCGCTCTCCAGGAGCTTTGTCAAGCTGTTATGGTAACAGCTTGACAAAGCTCCTGGAGAACGAAACGTTGCCACAATAAAAATGTCACATTAGTTGCACTCGTGTCCTTTTACCTTACATGATGTACATAACTCATGAATTTTATCTTCTTGTTTCAACTTATGAGCAGGTTACTTTCCTTGCATTTCAACTTATGAACAAGTTGCTTATAGAAAATAATAGTATAAAGGAAAGATATGTTTCATGTGTTGGCATTGTGGCTCCGCTATTATAAAGTATTAATTGGTTCGTATGTTTACTGTTTGCAAGTGTGAATGCTTGTAAGTTGGTGGCTGTAAGTTGGGAATCTTATGTACCGTGACTACCCCGTGAATGAAGATTCTTTACTTTATTAATGTGTGAAGCCAGTTATTCCACACAGTTTGCATAGATATTCATAGGATGAATTTATAGGTGACTATGTTTAGCAGAAATTTCAAAAACTATATTTAAAGTTCAGTTTGGTTATAGTACTGATTTTAGATAACATGTGTCCCCTCACCCCATAACTTGTTTAACCTGATGGCTCTCTATTTGTATGAGGCTTTAGAGATTAAGGCATCACGTCAGGTGTAACTTTGTGCATAAGTTATATCGAGTTAGGTTTCATGGATGTATTGTCACTGTAGGGAATCTACTATACTCGTGTTTGTTATAAGACCTCTGAGTAAATGTTTTCAGTATTATTTATTCTCTCCGTCAGAGAAAGTGCAGTTCCTGTAATCATTGCTGTACATTTTATACCTGTGATTAACTATTTTCAATCTCATTTGGAGAAAGTAGTTACAGTGGACCCCCGCATAGCGACCTTAATCCGTGCAAGAGGGCTGGTTGTTATGCGAAATGTTCGGTATGCGAATGAATTTTCCCCATAAGAAATAATGGAAATCAAATTAATCCGTGCAAGACACCCAAAAGTATGAAAAAAAACTTTTACCACATGAAATATACATTTTCCTACACACAAAGAGAAGGATACATGCACAATAGTAGAGTAGTACATGCACAATATATATTGTGCATGTACTACTCTACTAAATGAAGAATAAATGACACTTACCTTTATTGAAGATGCAGCAATGACTGATGAGACACTGTGTCCTGGGAGTGCCTTTTCCTCCTGAGTACTGTAGGTCCTGTTTGGCATTTTCTTCCAGAACAGGCCTTATCACACTGTGTATGCCACTACGATTCTTAAATCTCTCAAACCAACCTTTGCTGGCTTTAAATTCACCAATATGAGCACTAGTTCCAGGCATTTTTCCCTGTTCACCTGGGTGTTAGTCGACTGGTGTGGGTTGCATCCTGGTAGACAAGATTAAGGACCCCAATGGAAATAAGTTAGAGTCCTCGATGATGCACTGACTTTCTTGGGTTATCCTGGGTGGCTAACCCTCCGGGGTTAATTGTTTCTCGGTAATTGTTTCACGTTAAGCCACACCAACAACACTCTCTCCACATCTTCGAGTAATACAGCTGATGGTGGTGCAGCAACAACAGCTGTGGTGCAGCAGCTGTGGTGCAGCAGCAGCTGACTGTGGTACGATAGTATTTATCACCCTTTTTACCACAGGGTTGGCACTAGAAGCTTTCTTTGGGCCCATGGTGGCTTATTTAGCAGTTACAAGCACTATAAATAATGGAATAATACAAAATGTATCGAATGTATGCATGCAACCGGCCACCCTGGCTTGTAAACACTGACGGCAAGGCAGGCGCTCAGGCTGGACGGACAGGTTCAGGACGAGTCATGTTCAGAGACAGCTGATGGTGCAACAGCAGCTGACCGTGGTGCAGCAGCAGCTGACTGGTCCAGCAACAGCTGACTGATCCAGCAACAGCTGACTGGTCCAGCAACAGCTGACTGATCCAGCAACAGCTGACTGGTCCAGCAACAGCTGACTGGTCCAGCAACAGCTGACTGGTCCAGCAACAGCTGACTGATCCAGCAACAGCTGACTGATCTAGCAACAGCTGACTGATCCAGCAACAGCTGACTGGTCCAGCAACAGCTGACTGATCCAGCAACAGCTGACTGGTCCAGCAACAGCTGACTGGTCCAGCAACAGCTGACTGATCCAGCAACAGTTGACTGATCCAGCAACAGCTGACTGATCTAGCAACAGCTGACTGATCCAGCAACAGCGATTCTTAAATCTCTCAAACCAACCTTTGCTGGCTTTAAATTCACCAATATGAGCACTAGTTCCAGGCGTTTTTCCCTGTTCACCTGGGTGTTAGTCGACTGGTGTGGGTTGCATCCTGGGAGACAAGATTAAGGACCCCAATGGAAATAAGTTAGACAGTCTTTGATGACACTGACTTTTTTGGGTTATCCTGGGTGGCAAATCCTCTGGGTCCTAAGAAGCAAGATCACCACCCATCTAGAAACCCATCAGTTACACAACCCAGGGCAACATGGGTTTAGAACAGGTCGCTCCTGTCTGTCTCAACTATTGGATCACTACGACAAGGTCCTAAATGCACTAGAAGACAAAAAGAATGCAGATGTAATATATACAGACTTTGCAAAAGCCTTCGACAAGTGTGACCATGGCGTAATAGCGCACAAAAATGCTGCAAAAGGAAAACAGGAAAAGGGGGGTCGAGGGATCTATAATTTCCTATAAAAGAACACAAGAGTAGTGCAAACAGAGTAAAGTCCGAGCGCTACGGTGAAAAGTTTGTTCCAAAAAGGCACATTACTCGCTCCCATCTTGTTCCTCACCCTATTCCACATAGACAAGGATGTCAGCCACACACCTGTCTTCTTCCTTTGCAGATGAACCGAGTCTGCATGACAGTGTTTTCCCATTCAGAACTGCAAAGCCCAGGGGGAACAACCAATTTTCAGTGGGCGCAGAAAAACAAAGAAGTTCAACGATGAAAATTTTAAATTTACCAGATATGGTAAAATGGGAAATTAAAATCTTCATCAGAGAAAAAAACAATTCGGGCCACAAAATAGAGCAAAAACACCAACGTAAAAGACCTGGGAGTGACATGCGGGGATCTCCCTTCAAGGCCAAAATATTGTATAATCGCATCCTAAAAAAGACGGAGGGATAATGAGAACCTTCAAAACTGGGGAGGCCAAGCCTGATACACCTTCGGTCACTTGTTCTATCTGGGCGGGAATATTGCTGCACCTAACAGCACCTTTCAAGGCGGGTGAAATTGCCGCCCTAAAAAATGTACAGGAATTTCACCGCGCATAAGGGAGATAAAACACCTCAATTTTTGGGGAGCGTTGGGTTTTCCAAAACCTGAAATTCCCGGAAACGCAGGGGGGGAAGATACATGATTAATACACCTGAAAACCCTAGAGGACTATACCGAACTTGCACACAAAATCACTCACTAGAAAGCAAAAGATTTGGCAAAACATGCACCACCCCCCCCAATGAAAGCAGGGGGTCACTACCATGAGAGACCAACAATAAGTTGGGGCCCAAACTTTTAACACCTCCCACACACAAAAGGGGGGATTACAACAGACCCCTGGCAGCCCCTTCAACTGGCCGGACAAGCACCTAAGTCAGTTCCGGATCAGCCGGGCTTTTGCCGTACGCGGGTTTTGTGTGCAGCCAGCAGCAACACCGGGTTTGATCAGGCTCGACCACCGGACCTGTTCCAGCCCGGGCCGCGGGGGCGTTGCCCCCGGAATCTCTCCGTAAACTCCGGTTTAATTTTTCTTGGTATTCTCATAAGCCACACCAACAAGGGTGCCTACGGGCAGCAGCAGCGTGACGGGGGGGGTCAGCAGCAACAGACATGCTACAGCAGCAACAGACGATGCTCAGCGGGGACGATGCACAGCAGCAGCGGGGAACGATGCACAGCAGCAGCAGATGACAAAACAGCAGCAACAGACGATGCACAGCAGCAGCAGACGATGCAAAAGCAGCAGCACGATGCACAGCACAGAGACGATCTACAGCACAGCAACGATGAAAAACCAGCAGCAGACGATGTACACACAGCGGGACGATCTACAGCAGCACAACGATGCTACAGCAGCACGACGAGAAAAGCAGCGAGACGATGCTAAAAAGCAGCACAGACGAGCTAAAAAGACGCAGACATTACAGCGCAGCGACAGCTACAGCACGCAGACATGTACAGCAGAGCAGACATGCACCAGCAGCAGACATGCACAGCAGCAGCAGCAGCTGACAGGCAGCAGCAGCTGACACTGCAGTACAGCAGCTGTACCCCAATAGTAGCGGGGGGTTTTTGGGGTTTTTATAAAACCCGGGCCCAGCTCGGAAAACCGCACTCCATTTCAATTTACAATGATCTTTTTCTTCATCCATAGTAATTCTCACCTTATTGCTGTGGGTTGGCACAGAAGCTTTCTTGGGGCCCATGGCACTTATTTTCCAGAAAAAATCCCCAAAAAAACACTTAATAATAGAAATTTTCCCCGATGTATGTTTGGATGTTACCGGGGGGAAGGCTGGGGGGTAAACAATGCCACCGGGGCGGAACATGTGAGCGTCTCGGGCTGCACTTTTGGACGCGTCCCCGGACAAGGGCGGTGAGCGGGTTTTTGGGCGGTATGCGAGCAAAATTTTTTTCGATCAAAGCGTCCTATGCGGGTTGTACGGTATGCGATGCTACGGTATGGGGGGTCCACTGTACTAAAATAATTAATTTTTAAATTAAATTTAACTTACTTTTTTTTTTTTTTTCGGGCAACTCTTCTGGTTTTTT